ATTTTGTACCATTTCTGCTAGTCAGACATATACTCATATTGCTGCTTTCTTTGTCATCTAAATCACAGCGTCTGCATTCCCTGTGTCTATATTGGTTGATTCTTGTTCCATTTCACCTTTACAGGAACTTTGACTCACATGGCCAGCATCATGGTCATTATCATCTTCATCATCCATGCATGAATGATCTGATGTTTCACTTTTGACCCCTCCAAAGCTTGCAAATCTGATTTTTCATGTGCCATTGTACTGAGTAGGGCTACTTCTACCAGAAAAATCAAAAGAAACCTTGTTTTAAAAAATGCACAGAAGTTTAGCAATGAGCATTTCATGGGTAAAACTCAGCTGTTGGTGCTTTGGATCACCTGTACATACCTTGCCATTTGTCTGCACAGATGGATTTTTACTTTTCCCAGGTACAGATATTGTGAGTCACGCCCACATTCCATTATGGTAAAATATATGTTTACAGAACAGAAGAGCAGTGTGGGTATATTTTACCCCCTATGATGCTCAGGCAAAAATATGCAAAACCTGTTAGAAGGAACATTATGTGGGTAAAAAATCCCAGTTTGACATTTTTGCATACATGCACAAACCTTGCTGTTCATCATACCAAATGGGTGAAAATGAAGCTTCCTGTATCCCCCTGGCACAGGTACTGAGATGCACAGCTGGCTACTCTTAGGCTAAAGTACAAATTTGCAGTAGAAAAGTATGGGGTAGGTTGTTGTAACCCAGTGTTATGTACTGCACAGATGCCAGGCTGGGAAGAGGCTATTTGTTAGGTGTTGCCTTTGTTGAATCCTGTCCTGCTTTTTGGCCATCTACACTTACCTATCTATCTACATATACAGATTCATAGTTTGTGTTACAGTTCTCAGCTCCAGGCTCAGTAGTTACCTTCTAGTCATTTTAAAAAATAACTTTTTTGAGGTATGATACCATACGTTTAAAATATTCAACTTAGGGATTAGGATGTAACTTAGTGGGAATGTGCTTGCCTTCTGTATTCAAGGCCTTGGTTTTGATCCCCAGGCCCAATAATTCAGTGTTTTCAGGGGCCAGTTTAATGGTTTGTTTTTCTTTATTTTTAAAAATATTTTCACAGAGTTGTGCAGTTATCACAATAACCAATTTCAGAACAATTTTATTGCCCCCCAAAACACCATATAGTCCAGTACAGTGGCATGCACATGTAGCTCCAGAAGCTAATTATGAGGCTGAAGCCGGTGGATTGCTTAAGCCCAGAGGTTCAAGGTCAGCCTGGGCAACAGGATGTATCAAAAATAAATAGGGCTGAGGATGTAGCTCAGTAGTAGAGCACTTGCCTAGCATGCACAAGGCCCTGGTAAGATGGAAGGAAGGCAGGAAGGCAGGAAGGCAGGAAAGCAGGGAGGAAGGAAGGAAGAAAAGAAAGAAGGAAAGAAGGAAAGAAGGAAAGAAGGAAAGAAGGAAAGAAAGAAAGAAAGAAAGAAAGAAAGAAAGAAAGAAAGAAAGAAAGAAAGAGAAATAAAGAAAAAAGAAAGAGAGAAAAAGAAACTATACTTGTTAGCAATCATTGTCCTGTCCATCTACCCCAAAACCTCTAACCTTAGGCAACCACTAATCTATTTTTTTTTAACAGAAAAAATTTTTAATTGGAAATTTAGAGGGAAGATAAGAAAGGACTCCAGCTTAGGTAGCTGGAGGGAGTACACTGATACAGGGCTCACACTGGCCCACCTGCAAAAGCAGGAAACCAGATTTTAAATATTAGCTTCTGGGCTAGAAGAAGCTAATTTTCTTCTTGTTTCTAGGATACCTGAGGGAGTACACTGATACAGGGCTCAGACTGGCCCAACTGCAAAAGCCCAGTGTGCGTGCTTGGTAGTCAGTATCCTTCCAGGCAGTGCTTCCAGATTTCAAATATTCGCTTCTGGGCTGGTAGAAGCTAATATTAGCTGCTGATCATTATCTCAGTCCAGGTGTCATAGTGGGAATCTTTCTGGCTGAGGGTGGTTTTGTTCCCAAGGAAGTATTGTCTCTATCTGTGGTGTCTCAGTTACTTGGTGTTCCACCTTTTCTGGAATCCAGGTGATCACAGGTTTAAGACAATGGCTGACAGCTTCAGGTATAGAAGAATGTCCCTGGAAACACCCCATTAATATGCTTCCTGTCTCTGTAGATTTGCCTGTTCTGGATAATTCATGTAAGTGGGATCATGATAGTTGACTTTTTTTTTTTTTTTTCTGAGACAGGGTCTTGCTATGTGCTGTGTAGCCCAGGCTGGCCTTGAACTCATGGCAATCAGGCATGTGCCACCACATTGGGCTGATAGTTGGCTTTTGCAACTGACTTCTTTCATTTACCATAATGTTTTTGCAGTTCCTTTATGTTGTAGCATGTGTGCTACAACAGAGTACTGAAGGAAACCAGATGTACTCTGTTCCTTTTTG